TTTACCAGACTGTGTGTCAAACAATATTGACAGAGAAACTTTACAAGAAACTAAAGATCTTTATAACGAAATAAGTAAGTTAGAGCATCTTGTTAAAAAAAATGTAAGTGATAATAAGTCTAAAAAAGTTGAAGAAAAAAAACCATGCCAAATATGTAAAAATGCAAAGAAAGGTAAACGTTTCCATCCCGAATCAAGTTGCTGGTTTAAAGAAAAAAATAACAAAAATAAAAAGACAGAACTACTAAAATCTATAAACAATTCAGAGTTGGAAGTGGAATTGAATAAAGACAATCCAAAAAACTAGAAGTACCACCATTAATAAAAATAAAGTTACTATTGAATGACACTTTAGAAATTTCTGGAATTTATGACTCAGGCTCAAATGTGTCATTAATTAATGCAAAATTATTGAAGATAAAACAAAAAAATATGGATAATTTACAAATAGTAAACTTGAAGACTCTTAATGGCGAAAAAAACAAAAGGTATGATAACCTTGAAAATAAAAATCTACAATATTGAAAAAAAATGAATGTCTTTATTGTAGACAGTGAAAATTTTAATTATAATTTTTTAATTGGATTAGATTGTATTAAAAATTTCAAATTAATTCAAACTGAAGATCTAAGGATCATTCAACATGAAAATCTAAAAGAAAATAAAATAACCCCAAATCAGAAGATTAAAAAAGATAAAAATATCAACATTCCTAAATATTTAGATTACACACAAAAAAGTATGAAATAAATTTTAATGAGCATCTAAACACAGATGAATTTGAAATGATGGTAAACCATTTAGATTTGTATCAACAATCAGAAATTGATAAATTAATGGAAAAATACAAGCCAGTTTTTGCTAAAGATAAATATGACGTCGGCACTGTACGAGATTATGAAGCTCATATTGACTTGATGGTAGATAAATACTGTTACAAACGTCCATATAGATGTACAACTGAAGATAGAAAAGAAATAGAAGATCAAATATCCAAAAAAAAAACTTGATTGAAGAATCATATAGCCCATTTGCGGCTCCAGTGACTCTGGCTTATAAAAAAGAAGATAACAAAAAATCAAGGTTATGTATAGATTTTAGAGAATTAAATAAAATTGTTATCCCTCAATCACAATCTTTTCCGTTGATTGAGGACTTAATGGTAAAAACAGTGAACTGTAAATATTTTACAACTTTAGACATAAATTCAGCATTTTGGTCAATCCCTTTAAAAATTCAAGATAGACATAAAACTGCATTTGTAACACAAAAAGGTCATTTCCAATGGACTTGCCTTCCATTTGGATTAAAAACAGCTCCAGCGATTTTCCAAAGAATATTAAGTAACATTATAAGAAAATACAAACTCAATGATTTTGCAATAAATTTCATAGATGATGTCATGGTCTTTTCAAGAAGACTTTTGCAGAACATATAATACATTTAACAAAATTACTGGAAGCAATATTAAAGGAAGGCTTTAGGCTAAAATTTTCAAAATGTATCTTTGCAAATAATTATGCAAAATATTTAGGTCACATAATAGAAAATAATTCAATTTGACCTCTAAAAGATTTAACAGCAGTTAAAAATTTTCCAGTTCCAGAAACAAGGAAAAATGTCAATTCTTAGGAAAAATAAACTTCTATCATAAATTCGTACCGCACAGTGCAATTATCTTGGACCCACTGCATAACTTATTAAGGAAAGATGTAAAATTTATCTGGTCTAAAGAATATCAGGAATCATTTGATAAAACAAAAGCACTGTTATGTTCCGAACCAATTCTTAGAATTTTTGATCCGGAATTACCAATTGACATTTATACAGATGCCAGTATAAAAGGAGTGGGAGCGTTACTGAAACAAGAAGATAAAAATGGAAACAGTAAGCCAGTTGCCTATTTTTCAAAAAAATTGACGGAAGCTCAAAAGAAAAAAAAGGCAATATATTTAGAATGTTTAGCAATAAAAGAAGCCGTCAAATATTGGCAACACTGGCTGATGGGAAAAGAGTTCACGGTATACTCTGACCATAAACCCTTAAAAAATATAAACATAAAAGCAAGAACGGATGAAGAACTTGGTGATTTGACGTATTATTTATCCCAATATAACTTTAAAATAAAATATAATCCAGGAAAATCAAACCAAGAAGCAGACTGTTTAAGCAGAAATCCGGTCCTGGAACCTGATGAAAATCAAGATGATTTTTTAAAAATAGTGAATTTAATTAGCCTAGAAGATATAAAAAATGTCCAAAACGCAAATATGGACATACTGAATTGTAAAAACAAACTATTAAAAAATGAAATTTACTACAAAAGAAAAAATAAAAATAAAGAAAAAATCATTTTATCAGAAGAGCTTACTAAAAAGCTAATAAAAGAAATCCACAACAAGTACTGCCACATTGGGAGAACCCAGATGATAAATAAAATAACACCATTCTACACAGCAAAGAACATTGTGGCAAACATTAAACAAGTTTGTGATAAGTGTGAGATTTGTATAAAAAACAAATCAAGAAGAAAATCAAAAAACGGCTTAATGTCACTTTTGGGCCCAGCAACATAGCCATTTCAGATAGTATCTATTGATACTATTGGAGGTTTTGGAGGATTTCGGTCAACAAAAAAATACTTGCATCTTCTTGTCGACCATTTTACAAGATATGCTTACATTTTAACATCAAAGTACCAGAGCTCCAACGATTTTATTAAACTAACAAAAAAGGTGACACAAAGCTACGATATTGATATGATATTAACAGACCAATACCCGGGCATAAACTCAAAAGAATTTAAACAATTTCTGAAAGATAAAAACATAAAAATGATTTTTACCGCTGTTGATGCACCATTTTCAAGTGGTCTTAATGAAAGACTAAATCAAACTTTAGTAAATAAGATAAGATGCAAAATAAATGAAAGTAATAAGAAAACAGCGTGGACCACTATTGCACAGAGATGTGTAGAAAAATATAATGAAACGGAACACACAATCACAAAATTCGCTCCGAAATATCTTTTGGAAAGCGAAAATGTAAATATTCTACCTAAAGAATTAAAATCAAGATATATAGAAGAAGACCTGAAAAGTTAGCTTTGAAAAATACAATAGAATCACACAACTACAACAAGAAACGATTCGACCTACACAGAAAAAAAAATTGAATTAAATGAAGGAGAGCTTGTATATGTAGAAAACGAGAATCGCCTGAATAGAAAAAAATTGGATGAACTGAGAATCGGACCACACAGGATACTAAAGAAAATTTCCAATTCAATCTACGAAATCGACACCGGACAGAAGAAAACGGAATCAAATTTTTTTCACATTACAAAACTAACTCCAGTGTTGAATGAAAACTGAACAATTGCGTGCAATACCACTTAGAATTGTTTTTCTCCAAAGGGGGGAGATATAAAGAAAATTACGACACTCATATACTTGCGTCGTTGCTTTTCTTAATTTTGAATTTGCCACGTTACCGACAGAGGCTGCTGACTGTTGGAGAAGTGGAGTAGACGCGAGATTAGGAGAGTAAACTCAACTTGTCAAAGTGAGCACATGTTGAGAAAATTGAGATGTAAAGTGGAATTATAAATTAATAATAAGTGAATGTAAAACGGGAATTGACAACTATAAGAATAAACTTTAATTGTCGTTTCTTTGTTTTTACAGGTAAGAGTTATGATAAAACAAAAAATGTAAATAGAAGAAAAATTAAATACTTTGTTTTTACAGAGCAACAAATTAGTTCATTATTGCCAATTCTCCGCCAACAAAAGAATAACCATTATATACAGGGTGACCCATTTTAACTTAGGCAGCCAAATAACTCGAAAAATAAGCACACTACGAACAAATGGTTAGAATCAAAATTTCGTCATTTCGAGGGGGACGTACAATGACGTTAAAATCAGCCCCCCCCTCCCCCTGGGTGGTGAGGGGGGGCAAGTTTGAAATCTTAAATGGGAACCCCTATTTTTCATTGCATATTCTTGTAGCTTATCTCGAGAACTTTTCAAAACACTATAATTAAGTACCTTTTTATTAAGTACTTTTTGAGTTATAAGGCTTGAAATAATTTCTTAATTTTACATAAACCATAAAATATCTAGTAAACCATTCATTTTTCGATTATCTTACCTTCATACCCTAACAGCACATGATATTCTGCGTATCATCCCATTTTCATACTCATTATACTATGATCATCCGTAAGATACTGAGAACAACTCTATAATATCTCTTATAGTATGATTCGGTTTTCTATCGCGTGCGTACAATCTCATAATTTACTCAAAGATACGGTAAAGATACGTACGCTTTTCTATCGCGGGCGTATAATCTCAGGTTTGACGCCAAATATGGAAACGGTACATACGTTCAACGCCATCTGCATATGTTCCTGTTCCGGTCTCTTCCCGCTTGCTCGATGGAGTAAGGGATTTCAACTTAGTGAAATCGAAGGTAATCCTTTTTTTCTTTAACTTTTATCTTACATATAATAGTAAATAAAGTTTAACAGACAGATTTTATATATGATTTACGTAATATTTTGTATATTTTTTACATACTTATAAAGCTTTTCTGCTTAGAATAGTTTAAGGTTATATACACAAAAAATGTAAAAATATAACATTTTTAATACATAATTAGTATAAAATATCTTAGATATACATCCCAGATATATATTTCGTATCAACAGAATAGTTTTACAAATTTAGAACGTGTTCAGGAATATCAATACATACATTATCTTTATTATTTTTAAAACGTCTTAAAATGATATATGTATATAAATATATATAACTTTCAGCAGCGTTCTTCGCAGTATTCTTCGCAGTGTTCTCTTCGCAGAGTTCTTCGCAGTATTCTTCGCAGTGTTCTCTCTTCGCAGAGTTCTTCGCAGTATTCTTCGCATGTTCTATACAGTGTTCTTCGCAGACTTCTTCGCAGAGTTCTTCGCAGAGTTCTTCGCAGAGGTCTTCGTAGGGTTCTTTGCAAGGTTCTTCACAGAATTCATCACTGAGTTCTTCGCAAGGTTCTGCAAGGATCTTCAACAGAACGGGTATGTTTTTTTTTCTGTTCTTGAAATTTTTTTAAATTTTATTTTGAGCACTTTGATCGTCATCTATATCTGGGTGACAGCCAAATTTTTACACAAAGGACGTTTTATTAAATTTACATTAAAAGAAAAAAATATAGTATTTAAAAAATATAGTATTTAAAAATATAGTATTGTATTATTTATACAATATTATTTATACATTTTCTTTAATATTTTTAAAATAATGTGTCTTAAAATGATATATATATATAACTTTCAGCTCGCAGCGTTCTTCGCAGTGTTCTTCGCGGAGTTCTTCACAGGGTTCTTCGCAGTGTTCTATGCAGTGTTCTTCACAGAGTTTTTTGCAAGACTCTTCACAGTATTCTCCACAAAGTTCTTCACAGAGTTCATCACAGAGTTTTTCGCAGGGTTCTGCAAGAGTCTTCAACAGAACAAGTATGTTTTTTTTCTGTACTTGAAATTTTTTTTATTTTGATTACATTTCTTTTTCCTGTTTTTCAAAACTAATTGAATTAAAATTCTTGATTGAATATTCTGAGGACTTAACAAATAAATATTCCAATAACATTCCAGAAACGTTCTTAGTATTACATAGAATATTCTTTCCGAATATTCTTAGAACTTATAGAAGAATCTTGTTAGAATATTCTCCGAATATTTTGTGCTGTCTGGGCTCAGGAACCTTAATATTTAAAAAAATTAATTTAAAAAATAGTATATGTTTTGAGCAGCTTTATCACATTAATAGAAGCTTGTCACGGTCGAGCGATTGAACAGTCCAAATATAGAATGCATGTTTGTAATTTTAATTCAATTAGTTTTGAAAAACAGGAAAAAGAATATTTTCCGAATATTTTGTGCTGTATGGGAATATTCATATAATATTCGTATAACATTCACAGAACGTGACTTTTTGTCTACTTCTAATGTTCCATTGGAAATTTATAGGAACTCCAATAGACGCGTAAAATATTCTACGAATATTCAAATATTCTCTTATATTATTCTATGAATGTTCATATAACGTACTTATGTTGTCTGGGAGTAGTTGCCACGGTCGTATCGGTTTGTGACGTCAGAAGCGAGAAATGACACGTTGAGAATTCTTGCGTGCTATTTTTAAACAAAAAGATATTTTAATGAAACAAAACTATAAATCGCTTTAGCACACTTGTAAAATTTTCCGAAAACTAAGCTTTTGTCTTGACAATTAATAAATAGCTATAAAATGAGTGTCAAAGTTAACTTGTCTGTTTTGACGATTTTGACAGCTCAGTAGCTCATTTACTTTGACACTCATTTTACGGCTATTTATTAATTATCAAGGCAAAAGTTTAGTTTTCGGAAAATTTTACAAGTGTGCTAAAGCGATTTGTGGTCTTGTTTCATTAAAATATCTTTTTGTTTAAAAATGGCACGCAAGAATTCTCAACGTGTTATTTCTCGCAATTTCTCGCTTCTGACGTCACAATCCAATATGGCCGCGGCGACTACTCAGGAGCTTTAAACTTTAATATTAAAATATGTATGTACAGAATAGTAAAATAAATTTACGTAAAAAAATTGGTAATTATGCAGTATAAGGGAGCCACCCCCGATTTCAATAATTTTTATGTATGTTATCAAGGTCATCATCGTGAGTAATGTTATGAAAGTTTTAGTCGGCGGTCGTTGTTTTTTAAAAAGTTATTTTGTAAAAAATTTACTAGAATCATCCGATTATGATCGTTCAAATTTCGATTCCAGAACATTTTGTAATAAATTTAGACCACAAATTAGCATCACCAACTACGTCTTGCACTGCAAGCCACGGATTATTATTCATTTGCTCCACTGAATAACTCATTTTCTCCAGAAAATGTCTGCTATAGAGTTATATGATAAACTGAGTTTGATCGATAATGTACTTGATGTATTTGATCGAAGAAACCAAAACAAAACAATCATTTCTATTGTAAATGTACAAGGTGTCTGAAAGCGATAATTTGTTCGTTGATATTTATATACGATATTTTATAATTCTTATACATATATTAATATAGTAGAGACTCTGCTATAATTTATGCAGAATATATAAAAATATAGTAATTCTAGAAGGATTTTGTTGGTTAAAAAGTTATTAATGAAAAAATTTAAAAAGTGAAATTTACAATTTTTTATAAAATAAGACTTTACAAAATAACATTTTAAAAAACAATGACCGCTGACTAAAATCTTCATAACATTACTCACGATGATGACCTTGATAACATACATAAAAATTATTGAAATCGGGGGTGGCTCCCTTATACTGCATAATTACCAAAAAATTTATTTATTTTTACACATAAATGAAAAACAACTCTGCATTTTTCCAAGATTGAGTTGTAAAACTTGTTATGAAATAATAAATTATAAAGAATATAATTGTGTATGTGAGAAAAGTTATTAATTTTTAATGCTTGGTCATGTACCAAAGAAAATTTGTGCCTTGTGCATAGCATTTAGCTTTGTAGAAAAATTAATTTTCTACAAAAGCTCAACGCACTACTATCCGCGTTTGGCTCGTATTGCCTTGATTATTTATATTTGTGACTTTGATCTTACGAGCCTTATTCTAAATTTGTTTGTATTAATTTTTAACTCTGTTATTTTCAATGTTTATTTTTAACTTTGACTATTTCAAAAACATTTTTTAAGTTACTAACTTTTATCTACAAAATTAAAAATTTTTTGTGCTTTAAACCACTAATATTCTTTCCTTGTTAAAAAATTGTTATTATTTCACAATGTGACACAATCGATTATCGTACATATCTACAATTGTCGTGTTACAGTCATGTCATTTTCTTTATAAATAATTTACATAATATAATATTACATAATATATCTTGTTACCAAAGTTTTTTATATTAAACAGATTTATCAACATGAATATTAGTGGGAAATGTTACAGACGAAAAGATACTCTATATATGTCAAGACGACATCTGAGAAGACTAGCTGCACAAGAGGCAGATATTATTTCAAAAAATTTTCATAAATGTTTTTTGTCAAGTTCTAATACTAAATGCACAACGAATACGGGCTATGGCAGATTTAAATCTAAAGCAAAAAGTAGTGATATGGAAAATGAAACTGATAATATTGATAACAATATTATACAATATGAACAACATGAAGACAACATATTAGTACAACTTGAAAATGTACAATCTGACAGACAGTCTGCATCAGAATCAGATTCACAACGATCATCTCTAAACGATTTTTGTGACGAATCAAGCAATCTGGATTTTGGTAATGATAACAGAAGTCTATCTTTTGAAAATGACCTTGCAGCATGGGCTGTTGAGCATCAAATTTCACAAACCGCTCTAAATATGTTGCTATTAACGTTAAGAAAACATTCGTGTTTTTCAACACTTTCCGTGGACGCACGAACGCTGCTAAAAACACCGAGACAACAAGACATCCGAATAGTTGATCCAGGAACATATTATCATTTTGGTTTATTAAAATGTATAAACCAAAATTTGTCATCTGTTAAAAAGAATATTGATTGCTTAAAAATAGCAATCAACATTGATGGATTGCCATTAACAAGATCGTCGCAACAGCAGTTTTGGCCTATACTTGGCTCAATTATTCCAAATGGCAACGTTTTCATGATTGGACTTTATCATGGTAACGAAAAACCGGAAGATGCTAATGAGTTTTTGAAAGATTTTGTCGACGAAGCAAAAGATATATGCGAAAATGGAATTAACATCAACGATCGACTGATACCATGTCAGATAGAAGCTTTAGTATGTGACACTCCTGCGAAAGCATTTGTTTTGTCTGTAAAAGGACATTCTGGATATTCCAGTTGCACGAAGTGTACAACGGAAGGAGAGTATATTAGAAATCGATTGTGTTTTCCACAGATGGACGCACCACTTAGATCTGACGATGATTTCATACAAAAGATAGACGATAATTATCATAAGCCAAATATAACGTGCAGTCTCTTAAATATTCCTCAATTCAAACCTGTAACAAATGTGCCTTTGGACTATATGCATTTGGTGTGCTTAGGAATTATGCGCAAATTGTTAAACTTATGGCTTCATGGAGAACTGCAATATCGATTACAATACAAAGCCGTGGACGATATTTCTACACGTTTAATAAGCCAATTAAAACCATCAATACCTGTTGAATTTGCACGAAAACCACGAAGATTAGATTGTGTGAAATTGTGGAAAGCTACAGAATATAGACAAATATTACTTTATACAGGACCAATAGCATTTAAATCTATATTAAAAAAAGATGTATATATACATTTTATGACATTACATGTTGTTATAAGGATTTTGTCCTCGGAGAAGTTACACGAACACCTTAGCTATGCACAAGAGCTTATTTATTTCTTTGTTAAAACATTTGTAAAATTGTACGGAGCGCAAAACGTATCACATAATGTGCATAGTCTTATTCATCTTGTTGATGACGTCAAAATATATGGACCTCTAGACAACTTCAGTGCCTTTTAATTTGAAAATTACATGCAGATACTTAAAAAGTATATTCGAAAATCAGAAAAACCTTTACAACAAGTTGTACAAAGATTCATTGAAAAAGAAAAAAGCTTATTTACCTCAACTACTAGGCCACATTATGGGCCACAACATTATAATTTAATGTCCTTACATTATGATGGTCCTATTATTCCGAATTGCCACAATCCACAATATAAAGTTGTCAAGTTCAACGGAATGACATTCAAAGCTGACACACTTTCCGATAGCTGTTGTGGTTTAAGTTGTGGTGCAATTGTCTGTATAAAAAATGTAGCTTACTGCGCAAAACGAAATATTCCTGTCATTATTGGTCAAGAATTCATGGAAAAGGAAGATGTCTTTAATGTTCTGTGTTTATCTTCGTTACTGGATATCTATTCTGTTCATACTTTATCTGACTTAAAGGCATGGCCGTTGAAAACCATAGTTAAAAAATATGTTAAATTGCCATATGAAAATGACAAGTTTGCCGTTTTTCCGCTTCTACATTCCGATATTTAATTTTTGCATCTATTTTCGCACAGAATGGACAATAAAAAGAAATATGCTATTGTTAAGTTCAAAGATGGTCTGCAAATCGTACCCGCTACTTGGTTAAGTAGTGATTTACAAAAATCAAAATGGCCCAGACATTATATCAGTAACGACAGATATGACAAAGCGGTTAAATTGATGGAAGTACCTGATTGTACATGGGAGGAGCATACTGTCCTGAAAATATATGCGACATCTTGTAAGTAATTTAATTATTTAAAGTTTTTGTAATATATTTATTTTCCATAAATACGATATTGATACTTTTATTTGCTTTTATAGAAAAACAATGGTGCTTATATTATGTTTATTTCATATATTATTTTTTCAGCAAACTATGCTGTGGCTCGACAAAAATTGAAATTAGCTGAAGAAATGTCCGACATCAATTCTTGTACCGACGAGGATAGACAGAAACTTTGTAAAAAATCCCGCAAAATTAGAGCGGCTAAGATGCATGATTCCAGTTCATATGAGTATACTAACGATGAAAGCGATTCTGAGCAAGCCATTCTCTCAGATCTTCCCAAACCTCCAATCAAAAACGTCTATAAGGAGACGTCCACAAAAACAACTCGAGTATGTAAAAATAATACAATAAAGTATTCTAAAATTGCCGACACAAAACTGGAACAAGAAAGTACTGCATCTTACAATTTTAACAACATTGAAGAAGTTGATTTTCGTAAGTAATTTTTATCTAAATATGTATACATGATAGTTTTTACAACAGCAATACGATTATAATAAAATTATAATATTCAATTCTCTATTTTATTTTGATTAGATAAAGATTTTATATCAAGAATCATTTTAACCTTGTAATAAAAAACATTATGTATTACATTAAATTCTGTATTATATCATGTTTAATATCGCACATTAAAACATATAGAATAATGCAAAAACAAAATTTTATTGGAATATTAATAGTTATATACTTTTTTCTTTTTTACTTTTAGCTTCACAAAGCAGTTCCGCAATTTCGGAGTATTCTGATTATGAAAATGTAGTCCGACGCAGTCCAAATTTGGATTTAAATTCCAGCCAAGGTTTGTATGGAAATGATTTCTATATACCTTCTATTTTATGTACATTACTAATTTACATTTTATATTCTCGAATATCTAATATATACATATATAATGACTGCGTGCGTGCGTGTGTGTGTGTACGTTTATATTTCTGCATGCGTATTTATATTTTCTTGTGTTCATGTACAAAGTTTTTAAAAATTGCACTTTATTATCTAATTTTTAAAGGAAACTATTTTTTACAAATTGTATTAATATTGCATATTTTACTTAATATTTTAACACACAATTTTAATTTTTTATGATTTATATGTTTTGTTTTACCATTTTCAGATTCACAGTGTATTGTTAATGTAAATCCTGAACCTGAACGACGGCACGATATAAATAAATGTGTATTCCCACGTTGTGATAATCATGAGCCTGAACGACGGCATGCGCGCGGCGATGTAAAGAAATGTGTAATTCCGCGTTGTGATACAAGTCTTCCAAGTTTGAATTTAAATTCTAAGCGAGGTTAGTAATCTCCGTTTTGTCTTTAATTATTTAATTTGTATGTGTGTAAATGTTTATTTATTTAGATTATATATACATGTATATATGTTTATGTATGTATACCGTCCGTCAATGATTTGCGTTGGATTTGTTATTTCTCTCTTATTCTGTTTCGTACCTCAGCGCCGGTATAGGCAGAGTAAGAGAGACATAACAACAGCACGAGTCATTGACGGGCAGTGTAGAACAAATAGTAAGAAATTTTGTCTTCTATATTATTCATGTTTTTTAGAAATTATTGAACTATTGTAGAGGCAATGCGTCGCAATCATTCCATTATCAATTATGAAGTAGTGACATTTTTAATCTCAGAGTAAATAGAAACAGGAGGGAAAATATCGATAGTTGAGGCAGGATTTTGACGAACGGAACTACGTCATGGCAGCCATCTTGAGCGTCACTTTGCATCAAACATGATCGGCTCCTGTTTCAGACAATAAATCAACGCTTGAGTAGCTATCTTGAGCATCACTTTATACATTGTATATAGTCACTTCCATCCGCCTGCTTAGTACCATATGTTCTCTCCTGTTTCTATTCTCATTCTGAGCTTCTAATTGGCTCTCGCAATTGCTTCACGACTGGTGTCGAGATATTTACATTGCATTATAGAACGCCCTTAAATGTAAATAAATTGATTTAAATTGTTTGGAAACAATGATAGCATTATTTAATCAGTTTCAGGACAGTGCGCGGAAACTTCGATAGACATTACTGAACGTCTTCATGATGAAAATGTCCCCCCCAACAGACATATGTTAAATACTTCGATAGACATCACTGAACGTCTTCATAATGAAAATGTCCTGCCCAACAGACATATGTCAAATTATACTGAGGGTTAGTATGTAACTGTATAATTTTTTTAATCTTAAAAGTTTCAAATACACTCCAAAATTTCAATATCGACGCTTTCAAAGAAAATCAGCAATTCCATTACATATTTTACTATTTCAAAAACATTTATTTTAAAACAATTTTATTTTTAAAATTTTGCGATCTTTTTGTATTTTTAACATATAATTCGTAAAATTATATAGGCATGTATGTATGTACTCATACACTGATTTAAGTTACGCGAGATTTGCTAAAAAATAAATAAATCTAAATAAATCTAAATAAATCTTACGAAAAACGTTTTAAAAATTACTAAAAATTGTAAGGTTTACGAGATCATTTTATTAAATTTATGAGATTATTTTATTTCATTTTAATATATTGTGACATGAAAACTAAAATATTTATGAAACTACGTTTATACATATATTATATATATACTAATTTTTTAATAATCATACTTTAATACTTTTATGTACATATTAATATATATATATATATATATATATATATATATATACATGCATAAATGTAATTTAAATGTGTTGTAGGATTTGATTTTGAACGCTACGTAATTAAAAAATTCCAACATCTGGAATTAAAAATGAGCAATAACCTGAAACTAACCCAAAAAATTTTAGAAAAGGTTTCTAATACCGCACAGATTGCAGAAGAAGCACAGGAAAAAATTGATATTTTTCAACATTTACCACTAAGAGACGAAAATGATTTAGAAATTATGGAACGAAAATTGGCGAATGACATTGTATATCGAAATGAAATGGTAATTATAATTCAATATTAGAAAATATTTGTTTAAGAGAATTATTGAAGAGGATAACAGTTAATGATTGCTTTAAAAATTGAAAATTAAAAGTGTGTGATATAACTTCTTTAATTAGGATGCCTAAGTGACATCCAAGAAGTGTTGTTTAAAAAGCTATACTTTTAAAAACTCACGTTTGAAAGAGGTATTAATAATATTTTCTATTTATTACAGATCAAACAGTTAACACGATTGACAGCGCGGGATATTAAAAATTCATGTTTAAATTTATTGAGACAAATAGTCTCAAACAAAGTTGCTGTATTATATAGTTGGCATGGTGCCAAAAAAAAAAAGAATTTTTCCCAGCTGAACTTGTGTCAAGTAATATTAAGTAAGTAAACTATTAAGGGGGAATACGCAGTCAGGCGGCGCAAAAACAGGATTTTTCTCAAATTTTTTAAAAGGAAACTAATAAAGTTTTTTATTTACAAACTCTTTTGCATAATATTAATCAACAATTTAAGAATATTTCGTAATTTTTTTATTAAAAAATAATAATTATAATTGTTGTGACTATTTTAATATGGCTCCTCAAAAAATTCCGGTGGACACTGTAACTCGAGGCAGGATCATCTGAAATAAAAAACCCAAAAACATTTCGTTAGTAGATGACTTTGCCTTCCGTGTGAACGAAGGATTTTTTTTGATGATTAGAACTTGTTTTAAAAAATAAAATCGGTCGATTTTTTAAGCAAAAATCGTGACTTAAAAGTTCTCTAAACTTAAAAGTTCTCTAAAAAATTCAAAATTTAATTTTTTTCAAAATCCTTCGTTCACATGAAAGACAAAATCTTCTACTAACGAAATCTTTTTGGGTTTTTGATTTCAGATGATCCTGCCTCGAGTTACAGTGTCCACCGGAATGCCACTTTTTTTTAGGAGCCATATCAAAATAGTCACAACAATTATAATTATTATTATTTCTTAATGAAAAAATTACAAAATGTTCTTAAAATGTTGATTAATATCATGCAAAAGTTTGTAAATAAAAAACTATTCGTTTTCTTTTAAAAAATTCGAGAACGACCCTCTGTTTTCGCGCTGCCTGACTGCGTATTCCCCCTTAAGGAACAATTTTTTTCTTCCTAACATTATTAAGGCTCTTGAATATTTTGATAAAACTAAAAATTACTTTTGATACACTTGTAATACATTATATTTTAATTTTCTGAAAAATGTTAAAAATTTTTGAAATTGTAATAGTCATATTAATATTTTTCAATTATATCCATCATAATTACATACGAGTCTTAGAAACAAAATTAAAAAGAAGAAATTTCATTTTATTCTATTTTATTTAAATTACATTTTGCAAATGTGTTAGAGATGCCTTTTATTCAAATAAAAAAGAAGTTGAAATAATGAATAATTAATTTCAAAAAACATATTTCCTTCTGTTTTAGCTATTGTAAGAAACGCGCATGAAGCAGCAAAGGATGAGCACATATCTAATACAATAAAAGTATGGTTAGCTCACGCTAAAGAGCGTATTGATAGAGAGAAAGAAAAAAAAAGAAAAATTCAGAGGGATCGAAACGATCCTCCGGAAGAACTAGAAGAACCCTCTGACTGAATGTGATAATTATCTTGTCAACGTATTTAAATAAGACACGTTAGCGCAAGAGCCAAAGACAATTCTTACAATTAAGAATTTTGCTTTTTTCAAATTTTGTTCGAGTTATAATGAAAATGTTTATTTTGAGAGAGTTTACGATATATAGAGAATTTACTTTTTCTTTTATTTATAAATGTTATATACATATATATATATATATACATAACATATATGTAATGAAGAATAATGTGTTCATAATGTATATGACACATATTTTGAAGTAACGTTTTTGCAATAAAAACATCAATAAAAAATCAAAATTGACATATTAATAATCTAATCCTAACCTAACCTAATCCTAACCTATCCTGTTCAATGCGTGAGCACGCGCGCACTTGGCGGTATATATGTGTGCGTGTATAAATGATCTACTGCAATCTTCCTATTTTCATCATTTTCTGAAACTATCCTCCAACTATAGACATTCGCGGAGAAATACTATGGGAGATGCTACCCCGGACATTAGATCATTCGCAGAACGTACTGCGTCAATCGCAGTACGTTTGAGATTGTTCTGAGAATATACACAATATACTTTTGCGATATTCTTAGAACATTCTCAGAATCTACTTGTGCTGTTAGGGTACTTTTATGTACCCTATATAATGAGAGGAATCAATTGGTGTAAAGAAAACACATAGTTGTTTCTAAGAAAAAATATGTAATTTGCAATTAACAATTCCATATTTTTTCTTAAAAACAACTGTATGTTTTCTTTACACCAATTGATTCCTCTCATTATTTTGTACGTAAAAGTATGAAGGTAAGATAATCGAAAAATGAATGGTTTACTAGATATTTTATGATTTATGTAAAATTAAGAAATTATTTCAAGCCTTATAACTCAAAAAGTACTTAATAAAAAGGTACTTAATTATAGTGTTTTGGAAAGCTCTCGAGATAAGCTACAAGAATATGCAATGAAAAATAGGGGTTCCCATTTAAGATTTCAAACTTGCCCCCCCTCACCGCCCAGGGGGAGGGGGGGGCTGATTTTAACGTCATTGTACGTCCCCCTCGAAATGACGAAATTTTGATTCTAACCATTTTTTCGTAGTGTGCTTATTTTTCGAGTTATTTGGCTGCCTAAGTTAAAATGGGTCATCCTGTATATATATATATATATATATATATATATATATATATATATCAGGGTTGGGAAAGTTACTTTATAAAAATAACTCGTTACCGTTACCGTTCTTTTTTCTAAAAAGTAACTTGTTACCGTTACTCGTTGCTAATTTTGAAAAGTAACTCGTTACCGTTACCATTATTTAAAAAGTAACGAATCGTTACAATTTCCGTTACTTTTTTGTATATAATACAAATTTTATGCACATATTACAAAATTAAATTAAACACTATAAACTTATAATAAACACTAAAAATTTTTAAAAATTATTTTTTATAAAATAACAAAAACACGATATAATTTTAATTGCTATCGTTATTAACATAAAATGTAATAATTTTGATAATATATAATAAAAATAATTTTAATCAGATATTTTAAATAAGAATTTTTAAAAAATTATTAACAATTTTTTTTAAAAAATGCTGTAAATGTAAATTAAAATTTTTCTTATTTATTTATTTTTCTATAAATTTTCTATAAATAGATACGGTTAAAATCTTCTTCTTTACATCTTTAACTTTATAAAATTTTAAAATCCTAGCTTATATTAATTTACGAATCAGATTTTAAATTAACAATAAAACTTTTTAATTTACATTTACAGCATTTAAAAGTTTTTTTACTTAAAATATCTTATTAGCAAAATTATTACTTTTATTATATATTATCAAAACTATTGCACCTTATATCAATAACAATATCATTATTAAAATTAAAATTATATTGTTTTTCTTACTTTAAAAAAATTTTCTTTAAAAATTTTTAGTATTTAATGTAAATTTGTAGTGTTTAATGTTTTGGAAACTTTTAACCTGCAAAAGTTTGTTAAAAATTATAGGATTTTTAAAATAAAAAATTACAAAATTTTATCGAAATTCTTTATTTATCTTTAAAAGAATTTGCTGCTCAATAACATCATCAGACAAATGTCCACGTTGTGGTGTCAACACGGAGCCGCCGACGCTAAACATGCGTTCTACTGATGCACTACTTGGTAGCGCAGTATTATATTTAATAAAAAGTTTTTTAATTTTCGGATAATCATTCAACATTTCTATGTTACAATTTTTAGATTTTAGAAACCTTTGCAACTCTTCTTTTTCTGATTCATTCTGTGCCATTTTTTGTTGCTCAAAGATGAAAAAATCTTCGTGATCATCAGATTTTCCAGTTTTTGGAGAACTTTCGGTTGATCGGATTCCTAATAAATTTTCCAAGTAATTTTCGGCAAGTTTTTTCTTCTCTGCGGTTAACCAATTTAATTTGAATTTGGGGTGTAGACAACTTGCAATTATCCAGTCTTTTTTTTCAAACGTTGTACAGAATCTGAAATTAAATATAAATATATGACAAAATTAAATATGTAAATAACATTATTTTTTTCTATTAAAATACTTCTCAACCAATATTTTAAAATAAAAAAATATTTTATTAATAAAATCTTTATTTAAACATATTAAATATTAACATATTATTTAAATTAATGACGTATTAATTATATTAATGACTCACCTTTCATTTAAACCTTGCTGAATAGTTAAAATCAATGAATAACAATTTTTAAGATTAGATTTACTGAGAATTTCCAATTTTCGTTGCAACGTACTTAGAACTGGTAATAAATATCCCATATACATTCCTGTATTACTTTGCAGTATGTCTAATGCTCGTGCCAAAGGTTCTATTACCTAATCAAAATCAAGAAAATTATAGATGATTAGAAAAAATAGATAATAAAATTAGATAATAAATAGAAATTATACAAGGTAAACCACTTTATTTCCTCCACTTAAATATTTTTTTCCTACGCTTTTTATAAAAATAAAATGAATCAAAATTTTACCTGATAATATTCTTCCAAAAATTTAATTTCATTATCAGTTAATCTTTGTAAATCACAATAATCCAAACATTTATTTATTTTTTCCGTATCACTTTTTAAAAGCGTTACCAATTGAAGTATTGAATCAAAAGTAGAATTCCGCCTATTGAAATATGATTATAAAAATAGTAGTTAGTAATATATTAATAATTTTTTATTATTATATAGAAAAAAATTTATTATTTATACAAATATAAATAAAAATAGCATAAGAAATTTTTTACCTTGTAACAACCGGGGTTTTTAAGTATACACCACAATATTCTTTAATTTTGTCTGCTACTTGTGTTGATTGATTTTGCTTACTCCATAATTTTGATAATTTGGCAAATATTATTCTGTACTTTTTTTGTACAAGATATCATTATCTAACGCTTTTTCTGAATCTTTCACCGCAATAAGATTTAACGTGTGACTAACACATCTATGATGTGATGGAAGAATGATCAAATCTGCATCTTCTGTATCGGCCGTAATTAACAGATCATTTAGATTATGAAATTCTATGGTCTCAAAATCCTCATCTTCATTTTCGTTTTTTTCAAAAATTTTAAACAATTTATAAAGTTTGTTTATAAATTAAAACATTTTAATATAAAAAATTTTCAATACAGAAAAATAAATCTTGACATATACAAAACTTATATAAAACTTTAAATTACTGAAAAG